AGGGGATACTCGAGAATCGAAAGATTTTCGGGCGAACATTCGAAATTACAATAGCGGTCTAGCTATGGCTTCAATGACGGCCCAAATGGATGCTCCGCCCGGAAGAGGACCACGGCCTTATCGGATCCATGGAGCAGTGTACCATTTGGTCGGCCCTATGAGACCACAGCCTGGAGAGCAAGCCCAATATGCCCAGATCTATATTATGGACACCGAGCAAGCGGCCAACGAGCTTGCCGGTCGTGCCATCAATCGGCACTGCGATCAGGGCCTCTTTGCCAACCTCCATCTCCTCTTGCAAAACGTCAATATCTATGTTCAATCATTGATGATGATGGCAGAGGTGTCAAAAGAGGAATCTGATCAAGCAGCTGCCGATGGGCGGGAAGCTCTCTCAGCGCAGTTGGTCTTTCGAACAGATAAAAAGGGACGACCAAAGACGGTTCAATGCGCCTACATCCAATGAGATTGCCGTTGTTTACGTTGGTGACGATGAGTCGATACCCGGCGAGCGCGTGTTCTATATCCACGAGCGAGACGGCGGCCTCAGGCAGATCCACTACTTGCAGAAAGAGTGCGAACCACTCTGTTATCCTCTCTTCTTCCCTCGGGGTGGAGAGGGGTGGCACCCTAACATTCCGAAGCAAGTGGGAAATGCTGGCCGTCGTGGTAACTCTGACGATGACGAGCCGGCTATTGCCGATGACGGTCCGCCGAACCGGGTATCTCAAAGAGAATATTTCGCCTATAACATGTTCGTCAGGCAAGGCTTCAATCCTATCCACCACGGCGGCAAACTTTGCCAACAATATTACGTGGATGCCTTCGCCAAGACTGAACAGAATAGGCTTAATTATTATCTGACTCACCAGCGTGAACTTCGGCTGGATACGGTCCGTGGCCTCACCGATCACATGAATTCTCATGGTCAAGGTCCTGCAGGCAGAAAGATTATTTTGGGCGCCGGTCATCAAGGCAGTGGTCGAAATTCGGTCGGACATTATCAGGATTCAGTGGCCATTATGACCAAGTACGGAAAGCCAGATCTCTTTTGACCATCACTTGCAATCCGAACTGGCGAGAAATTCAGGAAGGTCTTTATCCAGGCCAGACTGCAATTGATCGTCCAGATTTGGTTGCAAGAGTGTTCGAATTGAAAATGAGAGCACTCGATGAGGAACTTTTCAAAAAGCACATCCTCCGGAGAAATGGCTGCCTACGTTTCGGTGATTGAATTCCAGAAACGAGGGCTTCCGCACCGTCATATGGTTCTATTTTTGAAGGAGGATTCAAAGCTCAGAACATCTGACGAGGTTGATAGCATCATCTCAGCTGAGCTCCCTGATTCCGACGCAAATCCTGAATTGTTTCAATTGGTTTCGACCAATATGATCCATCGACCTTGCGGTGCCCATAATCCTTCGTCGCCCTGCATGCAAGACAATACCTGTACTAAAGGATTTCCCAAAGAATTCAGAGATACCACTTTGATTTCGGACGGTTATCCAAAATACAGGCGCCGGGACCAGGGAAGGACTGTTCGGTATACGGTGAACCGGGTGGATGTCGTACTTGACAACCGTCACGTCGTGCCGTACAACCCTTACCTCCTGCTTCGGTTTGGTGCTCACATCAATCTCGAATGCTGCTTCTCCTTCGACTCGGTCAAATACCTCTTCAAATACGTCTATAAGGGTACTGACAGAGCTCGCTTCCAACTTCGTGATGCCAACAATGATGAACTTGGACCGGTCAATGAGATCGAACGGTACATACAAGGTCGTTATTTGTGCGCTCCCGAAGCTTGCCATCGTCTTTTCGCATTTCCCATGCAAAAGAAGAGCGACAAAGTCACCCGACTCCAAGTACATCTTGACGGCTTTGAAAATGTGGTGTTTGACCCAGAAGATGCACAGGCGGCACTGAATAGAGCTCGCACTCATAAGACCACGCTGAGCGCATTCTTTGCCATCAACACGCATATGCAGCATTTGGAGGACACCGGAGCAAGGACGGTTACGGTCAACGGTCAAAAGTGTCTGCAGATCGGGAGAAGGAGGGACGCAGAGAAGGTTCTGGATTCCAGAGAATTTTCTATGGCCAAATGCCAGAAAAAATATCGTATCGTTCAAGGCAAATGGGTGCCACGAAAGAATGCGTCGCGGGTGATTGGCCGGATGTACCATGTCTCGCCACGAGACACGGAACGTTTTGCCATGAGACTGCTTCTGCTCTATACGAAAGGCCCCAGGAGCTTCGAACAACTGCGCACCATCAACGGCACTCAATACAACACCTATTTTGGGGCCGCCAAAGCAGCAGGATACATGAATGATGACTCTGTGAACCTAGCTACGATGCAGGAAGCCGCCGATGTGCGGATGCCTGGAGAACTTCGCAGCTTCTTCTCTTCCCTGATCTGCTTCGCTGACGTGCAGGACCCTGTGGCGTTCTGGGAACGCTTCAAGAACGACCTAATGCAGGACTTCCTTGCTCGCGGACTTTCCATCCAAGTCTCTGAGTCAAAGGCCTACTGGGAAATTGTCGAAGATCTGGCAGTTCTCGGGGTCAGGAGACAGTCCGTTGTTCCAACTCAATTTGCCAAAGTACGACATTGACATCGTCGTTGTTGATCCCGCTGAGCATGCTCGACTCGGGAACGACAAATACTTGCAATTGAATCCAGAACAACTCAAGGCAACGGATGAAGTCTTGGCCGAGGTCGCAGACCCAAGTGGGCAGTGCTTCTTCATTGACGGTCCAGGGGGAAGCGGCAAAACCTTTGTCTACCAAACCATCTACCACATTCTATCCGGTATGGGCAAGAAGATTCTCTCGGTAGCGTGGACAGGTATTGCCGCCAACCTTCTGGAAGAAGGACGAACAGTCAGCACTGCCTTCCGGCTGTTGATCAAGACCAACAACAAGGAATCCAGCATGAAAAGGCAAAGCATTGAAGCGCGAGCACTCGCTGAGATCGACCTGATCATCTGGGACGAAGCACCAATGGCACCGAAAGAAGCGCTCGAAGCAGCTGATGCTCTTCTTAAAGACATTATGCAAAACGATATGCCATTCGGTGGAAAGGTCATGGTACTTGGAGGAGATTTCCGACAGGTACTTCCCGTGGTCGATGGCGGTGGTCGCGCTGAAATGGTGTCAGCCGCTGAAGACATCCCGACTCTGGCCTCTCTTTCTGAAAGTTTGAGCTCACGACCAACATGAGGGTTCGCGATGCAGGCAACGATTGGAAGGACTATCTTCTCGCTCTGGGTAATGATCTACTCGACAAAGACGAAGAGGGATACCTCGAAGTACCCGAAGATCTCAGATGCGAGCAAGATTTGGCCGAAGCAGTCTTCCGACCAGCCTTCGATGAAGGGGTTGAACTTTCTGAAGTAGCTATCCTTACACCCAAGAACGAACAAGCTCTCGAGCTCAACAATCGTATCTTGGATATGCTACCCGGAGAAGTCAAAACCTTCAGAAGTGCTGACTCGGCCGAGACTACTGATCCAACCGATGCTGCCAACTTCAACGCAGAGCTTCTAAACAAGATGACACCATCTGGAATGCCTCCCCACCTGCTCCATCTAAAAGTGGGTTGCATCGTGATGCTTCTGCGAAACCTCAGCGTCAAAAAGGGTCTCTGCAACGGTACCAGGCTGATTGTCGAGCAAATCGGAGCCAGAATTCTCCTCTGCACAATTGCCACAGGTAGCAGGAAAGGCAAGAAAGTGTTAATCCCCCGAATCGATTGCCTTTACGATAAAGCCACACTACCATTCGTGCTGAAGCGACGCCAATTTCCAGTTCGGCTTAGCTTCGCCATGACAATCAATAAAAGTCAAGGGCAATCATTCGAAAGGGTCGGCATAGCCTTACTACACGAAGACATCTTTGCACACGGCCAGCTTTATGTTGCTCTCTCGAGAGCACCGAGCCGCAAAGGTGTCTCGATAATGGCCAAGGACAACAAGATGAAGAACGTCGTCTACGAAGAAGTCCTCGATTAACTTTCTGAATCTTTTGTCATTGTTGATTTTGTTGTTATTATTGTTATTGTTATCATTTTCTGTTGTTATTATTGTTGCTTTTTTTATATGATATTTCGCCGAATAAATATTTTAAACCCCCCTAATATGTGTCTGACTTTCTCAGAATTGGTTCTTTGCCATAATTATCTGCAAACTTTTTTGAATTGTTCTTTGAATCCATTTTTCAGCTTTATGTGACCGGCCTACGGCCGGCACATAAAATCCCGATCGGAATTTCGGGGAGGTTTGAGTCATATAGACCTAGAAGTGGCCAGTGGAAAACTGCCGCGAAGCGGCTTTTTTCCACTGGTAAATAAATAAAATAATGGCCATCCGGGAAACCAATTGGTAACGAGACTTTTTTGAAACTTAATTTTTTTCTGCGAAAAACGCATTTGCGCAGTTTCATGAATTGGATTAAGGTACCTTACAAAGTACGTATAGCATCGCTTTTTAAGGCCCGTTACATGCTGAAAAGAAGTAATAATATATAATTACCTTTTTTCAGATTTACCAGAATCGATCGATACCTGCAGGCGATCTGTGCGATGACCGGCGTTTGCTATCGGAATCAATAAATTATTTATGCTTTGCTGGCAATTACACTACGATATAACATGAAATATAAATATTCGTGGTTCTTTTACATTATCGGGGGGGGGGGCTGGTTATCAGGGGAAAATCCACTTTTATTTTCCTTCATCCAATGTTTCATATAGAAACAGAGGAATGGTTTCTAGAATGGTTTTGCTATATGATAAACGTAAAAAATGTCTAAAATTACAAATCTTCACTTTAAAAAATATAAAGAAAATAGATTTATGAACATAATTACAATTTTGTTATTCTTCTTCTTCGTTTTTTTCGATATTTTTCGGCTTGAAATATGGTTAAGTGGATACATTTAGAAAGGAACCCCCTCCCCCTCCCCCGATAACGCCAAAGAACCAAGCAATCGAACTACCCGTCCAGCCGATCCAAATAATGGGCATACGGGGTGATACCGTATTTTTCGAAACAATCCTTGTGTACGAGGGAATATTCGGCGAGCGTATGATGTTTCCCGTTAATCTCGTAAGAGAATAACCTGAAATTCAGTAAAAACTTTAAGTACAGCAAAAAACAATGTTTCATTTATTGCTTTTTTTTCATTAATAATGATTGATCAATGAGTGTTCGTATCTGCTAGAAAATATTATTTTTTAATTGGTGTTTCGCATTATAATTGATTTTATTTTAACAAGTTCTATGTTATTACGATTCTCATTTAAAGCGCTGGAACAGAGAATAGGGGTCTTCACGGAGTGCAGCTTATTTTTAGCTATTTTCTTAGCCTGCTGTGTGAGACATTGGCTGTCTGAACCTGCTGTCAGTTTTTAAAAGAACCTAGAGAGCGTGTCTTTTTTCCAGTTTTTTCGATATACTTTACAAAGCTATGGTTTTGGGTACTGAGCTATTAGCGGGGGGAAAGGGACATAAATCCCATTTTTTTTCCATATCCATCCCCGTAATAGTGCATTTTTATAACGTTTTTAAATGTTTCAGATTCTTAGGAAAGAATACAAAAATGGGAAAAATGGAAAAATTCAATTGGACTGGACCCATGGTCGTGAACAGAATTGGACTTTGTTTATTTTTTAAACATTTTTTTTAAAATTGTTCATCTTTAGATGATTTGTAGAATTTGATGTTATTTTTGCCAAAATAGCAAATTTTGAAAATGTTTATAATTTGTGATGGGCTTTTCCTATCTAAAAACTGCGTAAAATTCCATAAAAATGATTTGGATTTGGCTATGGGGTTGTACGTAATTATTGGGAATCAGCTTCCCAGTTAACAATCCGGTACTGGTTATTAATAAAATCAAATTTAAATGAAATTGAATGGAAGGCCTGTTGGATAGAAGCTCTTTGTATACTTGGAAAAATTAATGATGATCTTCTCTATCTGGTAAAAATTGGATAGATGTCGTTGCCCCGATACCCCGACCAATTTGAAACACACACAATTACCTGTACTCATTTTGGCCGAGCAATTTCAGCAGCTTCAGCACTCGATTCGGGTCTCCGTGCACCTCGACGAGGATCTAGTTACACAAAAAAATAAACAAATTATAGTATTTAAATTTACCTGACAAATTTTGGTGTGCTGTAGAATTGAAGGTAGCACCACGAATTCACCGCCTAAAAAATACTGTTGCAACAAATCACACGCTAGAAAATGTTAGTAATTTCTTAATACGGGCGGTGTTTAATAAACTGGAGAAATCAAATCTTTTCAAAAAAATTTAATCGATTTTCACGGACCTGATGGGGTTGTTCTTTTAATTTATGTAGTTATTGCTTTATAGAGAAGTGCCGCCCATATATATAGCTGGCTATGCGGGAAAAAGATGATTAGAACAGCAAAAATTCTAAAAATTCTATTGACGATGTTCCAGAAAAATGTTTCATATTTTGGTAATGATTGTTGATTTTGCGCTGACGGCAATAGTCTCTTCTGTACTTAGCCCTATTCCCTACGGGAATTCTATTTTCATCTCCCATCTCATCCTTTTGCTCGTAATTTTTTGCAAAACTATTAATAAAACTAGTAAAAAATTCAAATAATTTCTACCGGTTGCTCGTTTGTCTTCCGTTGTAACAAAGATTTGCATTTTTAATTTGGGTTTGTCTTGTTCAATGTTAATAAAAATGATTCATAAATATCGAAAAAGACAAAATCAATGGATTTAGCGTAAATTTCGTGCAAGTTTTGTGAAAGAAAAAATTGTGATTCATGTTATCTGCCTTACCATCTGTCAGTGATCACTTTTAATCCCTCATCGCTTTTTGGCCTCAAACCTTGCATACGTTCGAAATCAGTATTTTATGGGAGTCTTTTAAATTAAGATTACTTCTTCCTTTACTATAGTACTTTAATTACTATAATTTTATATCAGTCTAATCTACCCCGACAAAATTTTTCATAATTTTTACTCTGGTTACATTTCGGTAATTTTTTTATTAGGTGTTGTAGTTTCATTTCATGTTCAAGTCTCTAGTTTTTCATGTCGAATAATCTTTATGTGCTTGAATTTTAATTCTGGGCAGGATCTAAGCTTTAATTCTGCGTGTAAAGAATGTTTCAGACCTCAGCAATGAGTGCGTTTTTGTAGCTTTTGTAATGTCAGATTTTTTTTGTTGTCAGCCGCTGTTTTTTCCGCTTCGAATAATTACTAGTTACCGGTATTTTAGATCGACCTAAATTGATGTATAAGAATGTTGCATACCTTAGGAACGATTACTTTTCCGTGTTTTTCTTAATCTACGGTTTTTCACCTGTTTTTTGCCTTGAATCATTATTATCGGCCTGTATTTTAGATCGGCCTAATTTACGGCATGAAAATGTTTCATACTATACGCAATGTAGGCAAGTAGATCAGTCGTGATTTCTGCTTCTCGTATTCCTTGCCTTGAATAATTATTATTTACCTCTATTTTGGATCGGCCTAATTTACTGTATAACAAGGTTTCATATTTTCGCTAAAATCATCTTGCGGCGCGTATTTCCTGTGTAGATTTGCAACCTGAATGCCTCTGAATTTAACATCAAATTATTGTTACTTTTGCATTTTAAAGCGCCCTAATTAGCCAATTAAACATGTTTCATACTTTCCCCCCGCGTAAGATTCTCTGTTTTTCATAATCTTGTTTATTCGTGCCCCAGCCTCCAATTGTTTGGCTTTGAATAATTATTACGTACTTGGATTTGACATCAGTATTATTAATAACTAGATAAAAAATGTTTCATAGCTTTGCACAGAGGACTTTTCGTTGTTTTTCGTAATATATTTCGCGTCTCATATTACGCCCCAGCTTTTTTCAATACTTTTCCACTGAATCAAAAACGAAACATTAACTAACTACAGGGCGTCCCAAAAAACGTCGGGTCTCTCTAACTCGACGTCGGATTGCATCGGAATGAAAGTTATACAATTCGAAAGCCCTTGGAACGGCCAGTTTACCATAGTCTTCAAAATCAGCTTTTTATTTGACTGGGCCACTTTACAGCGAATTTAAAAACATTAAGGAACGGCTACTTCCGGTCATTTTACATGGAAAAATTGAGGCAAGTAGGCTCGTATGTACCCTTGAAAACCGCAAAATTCTGCAAAATGTCTTGTGTATTTACAGCGCGTTTACATAAGAAAATGGTTTTGAAAATTGCTGGAAACACGCCGTTTGAAGGGCTTTCGAATCATATAACTATCATTCCGATCCGATACCTCTGCTTCGGGTTAGAGGAGGGTTTTTTCGGGAAACCCTGTATACACGTGATCTTAGGCTACCTGGTTGAATTTTATTTTTGGGTCTGGTCCACTGGATTTAAAAATGTTTCATACATACTTTGGCCAGGATACTACTGGGCCTACCTTGTGATTTTCAAATCCTTCGATTGCTTGCTAGCCAACCTTTGCTTCTTCTTGTTCGATTTAATTCTGGATTTATTATATCGATTTAATCTATTTTTGGGTGATTTAAAGTTTAACTTACCTTCAATATCAATCTTTAGGATCTCGATCTCCTGATCCCCATTGAGTCTCATCTCCTCAATTAAGCTCAATTTCCCTGCCGCTTCATCTTGCACATCACCGATGAAGCCGCGCCTGAATTTGGCACGGATCTCCTCAAACCCCTTCAGGACCGAATTGCTCTTCGGCGCATTCTAAAGGGAATTTCGATTTAATTTGGCTATTACCCATTTTTTTGTATTAATAAAGTGAAATGTCCCATTAATTTCTCTTACCTTATCGTATGCAAATATCCTGCATCGACTCCCCCGTCAATGCTTGGACTTCGCGCTCGAAACTCGTATCCTGATTCACGCCTAAAATTTTTTAAATGTTTCGGATTCTTATGGGACCGAAGACGATTATCCAAGACATAATTTCCTTTGCAAATACCATAGTAATTAGAGCAGTAAAAATGAAATAGAACAATTAAAAAATTGTTTTAAATTACTTATTAATTAACTAATTAATTAAATTTCTGAACGTCCAACCGATTTAAATGGATCGCGAATCCACCACTATCAGATTTTGCCGCGACGCGACGCGCGGCGCCTCTCCGGTCCCGCTGCGTTACGGATTAGGATACTGTAGAAGTTTGTGTAGGAAGTGCTGCGTGTCGAGTTGCGAAAAATCCCTCGAAATAATCATATCCGAAAAAATCTATAGCCATTCCTTGCCGACCCTTTAAAAATGGCTAGATCGCCCTAGCAAAGCAGTCTTTTCTAGCATTATGCCGGAAATAATTCCGTGATTTTAAAATGCCATTTTCAAAGTTGAAAAAGGCCACTATCCCTACACGACGAACGTTGCTTTTCAGTTTCATACCGTATGCCGAAAAATCAAAAGTCGTCTTGAGAAAATGTATGTTTCATCTCTACATAATAAAATGAGATTTTTCAGATTTATTAGATGCGGATTCGCAACGATTACCAAACCAAATTTTGAGGTGACGTGAGCGGGATTTACGATAACTTTATACTGTTTTACGATAACAAGACAAAGCTAGCTTTTTAAAAACCGGAGTTTTGATTCTTATTGAGACAGAAAATTTTATGGAACGGGGTTTGGTATATCTTCGACAATTTGTATAATTAAATTATGGCATTTGCCCTAATTACTACCAACAAAATTCAGAAGTTTCAGGTTTTCCTTGAAACTCGGCATTTAACCATGCATTAATCAATCGTTCGCTGTGCGGCGGAAAAGGATAAGTACCCCGCCTTTATCCTATTTTCTATTTATTCCACTTCCAGAATTTACTTCCATTTTAAAGCTCGGCCAAATGCTATTTTTCTTGAAAAATTTAAGTTTCATCTCTACGCGAACTATATCATTTTTTGATCCATTAATCTCCGGTTTCCAAACGCAAAGCGAAAAGTTGTGGCAAGTTCGGCGCGTAAAATCGGAGTTTCAAATATTATTGAAGGTAAAAATATTTAAAGACCTTCAGAACGCTGAAACTTCGTTAAAAGCAAGAAAGTCTCGCACCGGGCGGGGAGTCGAACCCGCGATGGTTCGCTCCACAGTCCGACGCGCTAGCCACTATACCACAGGGCCAAGTGGGGAAGGGAGTCAGAGACGCCCCAAATCCCAGAGGGCCTTTGGCCAGTACGGGGCACCACTAATGACGCATCTCTCTACGCGTTCTTGGGGGCAGCACCCTCGGGGTGACAGTGCGCGTTCCATCGTTCTGGTAGTCTTTAACGCGGTTTAATGCGCGGTTCGTACTGCAATGGCTGCTTGAATGAAAAGAGTTTTTCAGAATTATGCCGTGGTATATGGCTATTACACCTCGAGAAAAAAATTTTAATTTGTCAGAACCAATGTGTATCAAATTTTCTAGTATTTCTGTATAAATAAATTATCCCGTATTTGCACGAATTACTACCAAAAAATTTAGAAGTTTCAGGTTTTGCTAGAAAGCCGGAATTTAAACATGTGGTAATAAGCAGTTCAGTTAATCTACAAAAGTGTAAGTACAGCTTTTACCGTCTTTTCTAGCCTTTGGCGGGAAATTATGCCGTAATTTGCACAACATTTTAGAACTCGTTAGAATGAGATTTTTCCTAAAAAAACGTTTCATCGCTACACGACGAAAGTCCATTTTCCGATGTCTTAATCCATCGTCATAAACGTCGAGCAAAAAATGGCGGGATTTTGGCTACAAAATGTTTATTTTAAGATTTTTTGGATTACGGTTGTATAAAGGATTATTTTATGTAGAATATTGGACGGAGCAATTTAGGATTGGACGATACCCGGACTGAATATATTTTTTTAAAAATTCGTAAATTGAATTATTTATGAAACTTAAAATCTTTATGACAGGTTTGGTACGGCGTTGATATATTTTCTAAAATAAGTCCTTGTAAATATGAAAATAGTGGCTCAGAATTATAAAATTAGTATGGAGCTATTATAGCTAAAAAATTTATATATTTCGAAGTAATGCGAAATATTTTTTAGGAATTAACTATTATAGCTAAAAAATTTATATATTTCGAAGTAATGCGAAATATTTTTTAGGAATTAATGATATCTTTAGATAATTTACCTAGTGAATAAATCGAGCAATTGTCGGGCATTCCCCACGGTCGACACATCCATTTTCCGCCATCATTTACAGCACCAATTCGAATGAGTGAGGGGCAGAGCACCTCAAGAAAATATGTTTTATCTTGATGTGAAAAGTTTTTATATTTTTTGCCGTGGTGGGCGATTTAGTTTTTAGTTTTGTTTGGTTTCTTTTACTTGAGTACCCTATTTTAGTGTTAGTTTTCTGTAGTGATGTCACCCCGGTTAAAGGGGCCGGGAAGTTAAAATTCGCGCGTGCGTGGATTGAACCTATCGGTCAAAAAACTAATAGATTACTGCCGAGAAGTACCAAAAACGTGATTTCATTGCGAAAAACGTTAAATATTTGGGTAAAACCGAAAAGTAGCCGGGGCGAAAACGACATTTTGAGTGGGCGATTACATTTCGTAATGCTTGGGAGGCAACCAATCTCTCGATTTCGGAGATTCTCTGATCAATTTGCATAACTAAAATGTCTAGAATGGTCAAAATTCGAAAAGGATTCCAGAAATAGGATCAGAATTTTGAAATGCAAGCGTTTTGATGTCCGATTAGGGGCGATATTACTATTAATAGGACTAATCGCACGCAAAATGGAATTTATTTTAGGTTCGCCATTTCCCTGCAAGGCTAATAGCACGAAGCAAGCGTTCACTACTGAATACATGCTCACAAAAATTCTAAAAATCGAAAACGCTTACCTCTGGAACGAGTCCGTTATACAACCCAGCGAACGCCCACTCTTTTGTGGAGGTCTTATTTTGAAGCACATTTCTATAATTTATCTCCTTTGAGCGGAAATTCGTAAACGACTTACGACAGCAACCTTCGCCGCGCTTCCACGGACGTCTCGTAGAATTTGCGTGTAATCTCTGGGTCTTGAGGGAAATCTGAAAAACAATATTTATGACGTTGAAGCGTACTATTTTTTGTGCTGATTCAAGGACCTGAAAAATTAAGGTGTTTCAGATATGGCCCATTTTCGGAAAAATTGAAACATCTACTGATTGCGTATCCATCTCTTTTCTTCTAGCGCTTCTTGGTTGCGTAAAGTTAAGGTGTTTCAAACTTGGCTTCTTTTTTGGGAGTCTGCAAACATGTATTAAAACCCATTTTCTTCAATTTATTTTTAGTGAGTCCGGTTTTGCAAAATTAATACATTTTTATAGCAAATATTTAATTGTAAATACATATAAATTTAGTAGTTTATATTCCGTCATTTTTTATTTCACTTCTAAGCCATTTAGATCTACCGTATTTCGGTATGGATGATCGCATTATTCTCACAAATTACGTGGGGTACACGAACATGTCACTCGCAAGGCCGGAATTGACCAGCCGACCCGTCGTTTGCCTACCTTTTTTTCGGAAACACACTCTTTCCAAAGCTGGGTAGAGTTGTAAAAGATTTTAATTTTTCCATAGATAAGGCGCTTGCAGCAGTCGAAATATTAAAATGTTGATTAAAAGTCTGTTTAAAATTTAAAATTCTAGTAAAATACCTTTTTACCCAAAAAATGCGTTTCACTGGCTTTGGCACCAAACATGAGAATCCTCGGTACAATCAATGTACTTAAAATTTTGCTGTCTGTATAATTGTAATTTTTGCTTACTAATTTGGTCACGGCGAGCATTTTCGTATTCTTTAAACTACACTATTCATGCTCCAATTAATTGAATAGTTTTTTAATAAAGAGTTGGCAAAAGAAGACACCGTGGATTCAAGTTAGAATCTTATTTTAAGACCCATACTCTATAGGTCAGGCACAAAAATGTGTTTCGGTCCACTTGGGACGAAAAAGGAAATTCTAAAGCACAATGAGTGGTACATATTAAGTATAATTGTTACTGAGTTTTCACTATTAGGCCTGTTTGAAAAAGTTATAAGAGATTAAGCTTTTTGGCGCGTGCTATGCCCGGCGCCTATCGACGCTTCCCTTCCCGGCAAATTGCCGTTTTTGGCTAAATTGATTGGCTGGTTTTTTTGTAAACTAGAACCGATTATGCTATGTAAAAAGGGACGTAAGAGGAGTATTGTTCTTTCTCTTGAGGTCCTTAGAGTTTATTTTTCTACATGCATGGCACCTCTGGAAAATTGTAAGATTCGTCAAATTCGAATGTTGCAACCGATCCTAGGTTTCGTGGGTCTGTCGAGATTTTAATTTGCCATCGCCGGTCAGTGGTGGATCGCCGGTTTTTGATGATCGATTTTCATGGGTTTTACCGCGCCCGTGGCGCGCAACTCACCCATCGTTGCGTTGCGTAACTGGATAAAAACGCTCTGTTATCTCTGTTTACTGATTGAAATAATCCCGGACCTAATAAATCAAATAAAAAAAATGTTTCAGAGCAGATTCTAGATAAAAGTTACGTTGCTTAGTTTAATAGAAATTCATACAAAAACATGCCAAAATTCTTGATTCAGTAACCCACGCTTTCCATTAGGTGTTGCAACTATTTTGCGAATTATATCGCGACCTAGCAGGGAACACAAAAACATGATACAATTCGTATGTTCCAAGAAAGTGGTGTCTCCTGGGTCTTTCGGTCTCCTTAACTCGTAGCCCTAAATTGTTTAGGGGAATGGCGTGCGTCTCCGGTACCACAGAAAATCCAGAGCCAGCCAGGCCTTGCCCATGCCTTTAATTTTGTCGTTTTCCTCATAAGCTCTGCTCGCTAACCTTCATATATTTGAGCCCAGATAAAATTCAAGATAGTATGTTTCAAAAAATTAAGGTTTCGCGTTCCGCTAACCCTGAGTAATTTAAGCATTTTTTAGATTCTTAACAGCGGCGCTTTTTTAGAATCTTAATACTCACCAACATTTCCAACAGCAAAATCTGGGGCATATTTTGGAGGTAAATTGCTTGTTTCTTCCTGATAACCATCCTGGCGCGTAAAATAATAGACAAGCAGCCCGACGATCACGCAGCAACAAAATGTTTCGAATTGCGAACAGCTGCGCGGCATTGGTCGCTGAATAATTTAGACTTATGATGGAAGCAATAAACCGATGGAAGGCGCAAACAAACTATCACATTTGCCAAATCAATTCCGTTCATGGAATTTTGAAGCTAGTTATTTTGAAATTAAATTTTTCAATATGTCTCAATATCAATAATCTAATATTTTTCATTTCTGTCGAATTTGACAGAGCCATTCGACAGAGCGTCGAAAAATCAACTGAACAAATGAATTTCAGGCAGGAACATTTAATTTGAACGCTTTTAAGTAGGAAAAATTGTATGAAGACCAACGCTGCAATCGAGTTAATTTTTCGGTCGGGATTATCGATATTTTTCGACGAAAACCTTTTTTCTTCGCCTCTAATTTTCAAACCAGCGCCCAAAACCCGCTTCGCGGGCCTTGGGCGCTGGAATTGGGCCTTTGCATGAAAAATTTGACTTTCCGATAGCACGGGTCCTTCGGACCCCCACCGACCACACACGCGCGGGCAAATTGCAAGAATGAGGAAATTTGTATTTTTTCATATTATGCAAATTAGCGCTCGAGGACCCCAAAAATGAGTAAAACCGGCTTTAACTTTGTAAACTTGTATTTTTTCGAAATTCTGAAAACGCCATCGGAAACAGAAGGGTCGATTCCCCCAAGTGACAAAAAATCAGTGCATTTTATCCAGGGGAAGGCCCTTAAATCGAGCCTCGAAAGTACATCCACACACACACACAGAGATACACCCCAAAATTATATAAGGTAGGATATTGAAATATTAGTGTAATTGTTTCTAGCATTTCTACACTATTCCTAGAAGCAAAAACTCTTCAAATTTTTATGCAAGATATAAAAGATTGACATTTTTCGACTAAAAACGCCCGATCTTTTACCAAAACCTCCCCTTTTACAATTTTTTTGGCGTTTAGATAGTTTTTCTAGTGAAGGACGCTAAACTTTACGAAAAACACTACAAAATAATAAAACAAGAATTAAAAATAAGATTATGAAAAAGAAGGAGAGCGTTATTTACGTGGGGGTGTTAATTGACGGCATTTTTTACAACCGGTTCTTGCGAAGAGAACGAAATTTTAATGTCCTGATCGCCGTTTGAATTAATCGAAATATGACAAAAGATGCCCAGGGCCGGAGTGAACACACGTTGGCAGAAGAGACAAGGCCGGCCGGGAAACGATTTGTATTTGCTCAGGGCAACAGAAACGCCGCGCTCCTTTGTCCGTTCAATGTTACGACAAATTGTCGCCGGAAAACAATGTTGCAGACTTGGAGGGGGTTTAGCCACGAAAAATAGCGTGAATTACTCCGGAATTTAATCTGTATAAATTGTGCGATCATGCTTTAAATTTCGCCAGTGAATAAAAATTCCTATTTAATTATACAATGACAATCAGCAGTAATTTAATTTAATTGGCTAAAAACTTTACATTTCTGTATTTTTGCTGAAAATAATATGCATCGATGACTCAAAAAGATTGCAGTCTCATATCTCTTTGATGATTCTCTCAGGGATGCTATGAAACACATGCTTTCCGAAAATAACAAAATTCAGTCTGGATTTCTCACGAAAAGATTTATTTGAACAGAATAACTTATTTATTGTAGAACTAATAACGCCCAAAAAAATGAAGTTCAGGAACAGAATTAGAATCAGTAGCCAATATTCCTATTGATATCTCGAAGAGCTCAGGCTTTTACGATTTTTCGAAATTCCCGAATTTCGGCAGTTTTCATGTCGACGCGTTTCAAAGTTACACGTTTTTCAAAAACAATGAAATTGGCTTAAACGCCACCGCAGCTGTGTTTTCTCAAATTGCTTTCAAAAAGCCGTCGTTGGGCTGCTTCAAAAATCGGGAAATTCATAATAAATTTTGCGTTTGCAAGGAAACCCTTTCATCGGAGAAGCAACAGAACTTCAGAAATTCGGTCCATTTCGCAAAAATATTAGTAATTTTGAGGAAATGCGGGAATTTCGAAATCGGAAGGAACATATTTCCTTTGCTCGTCGAGAGCTTTCGATAGATACCTAAATCGTAAAGATCAGTTCCGCCCGCGAACGGCTAGAGGGGGTCTTTTTTGGGACACCCTGTGATGGCGCGTAGGTGAGCACATTAAGACAAATTATTAATGCGAGGGAGGGAGTACTTTTCCGTACGTTTTTCAAATATACCTTTTTTTCTGGCTTGTTTCTAGCCATATTTTCGTAAGTGATCTACGGTTTCGCGTTATTTTCCTTTTTTTTGCTTTTGCTGTTGTCAAACATAAAAAAAAGTGTCGTGCCAGACCAACCTATAAACTTTCGACAGGTGGCGGCCATTCTACCCAAAAGTCGCTTTACCGAACGTCGCCTTACCGAAAAGTCTTTTTACCCAAAAGTTGATAATTGATTAGGAATAGAATTAATTTACAAAAGGGTGTAAATCCCCGAATGTGACTGCATGTGATTGCTGCGACTCGATCAAATTAATCTCCGAAAGTGTTCTTCCGATTAAAGGATTTTCGGACCTTGGAGCTAACGCGACTACCTCCATGAACAGAACGTCATTGAAGCAAGATGTCTGAGCACGACATAAAAAATTTTTCAACCATTTTCTTCGAGAAGCGCTTTCTCGCAGGCAAAAACCTTGTAATTTTATTCATATTTCATTTAATTTTGTTCTATTAAATTCATGTCAATCAATTCATGATCTTCAATCCCATTCAATGCACCAATTTAGCGCCGATATAGCCCCACCCATTATCGAATTCAAACGAAAATTCGATTTTATAGCAATTAATTTTTCTTTTTTGGGCTGAGGATATTTTAGTAGTTTCAAATTACAACCGTTCCCTATTATGGATCTATGAAACAATTTTTTTTCTTCCAAATACGGTTCGCCCCGGATGTCTGGGGCCGTTTTAGGATGCGTACGTCGTTTCTGCAGCTGAATAAATAGAGGATGGCGGCGTCTCTTTAAAAATTGCGCAGACGGGACTGGCCCGAAAATCATTGCCGCTGAACTTAATAAAAAAATTGTTTCGACAATTTGACGCGAAAAAACTCAGCGCGGTTATTTTGTATAATAAAATGTCAGAAGCTACAAATTTAGTGCCATGAAATTCTCGAAACTTTGAAGAAACCCAAGAACGCACGCACTATGGAACCAAATTTGCGAAGAAATTATTATTGAACCGAAACATACTTTTTCAAAGAGCTTTGGCTTAAAACTAACGATGATTTTTAAGGGCTACCAGTATAATGTGAAACTGTGCTTTACGCGGCATCGAAAGAATAGTAAATAAGCCCTCTAAAGATTCGGAAAATCTGTTTCAAAAACTTTATATGCAAAACTATCATTATTGGCTACAATCGGGTAGCTAGCGCGATCTATTGCAGATATCCATGGTTCAAAAAAATACCGAACCAGTTCAAAACAGTTTTTTACTTTTCGGGTAAGCGTTCCCCTCATTACAAAATGCTATTAATCCACCAAATGGTACACGGCCGAAACACATTTTTTTTAACTTTTGCCATGATCAGCCGGCACTTGGCCATGGCCCTTCGCAAAAATTCAACTTTGAGTAAAACCGGCAAGAACTTTGTGAGACTTTTACCATTTTAAACCATTACATTTACATCTACGTTTACTTTTATTTTGCCGAAATTCTGAAAAGAGGAGGGTCGATTTCCCGTAGTGCCGATGAATTAGGGAATGGTAATAATCAGAAGTACTATCATCCGGTCTTATATTTTTTCTTGTGGGGGACGGTGGAAAGTGTGTAATGCAAATTTTTCTAAAAAACAAAAGGATGTAGCAAGAAAAACTTAAAGAAAGTAACCGCACCAACTCCGTAAAAAAATATATGTTTCAAAATCGTGCATTTTTAGGAAGCTGGTTTTTTGGATTCATCAGAAGTCAATACGGTGGTCAAAATCTAACCTTTTCACGCGTTCACAACACGCTTAAAATACTATTGAAATTTTTGTATAAACTTCTATTAAAGCGTACGCATGAAAATCAAACCGAAAAAATATTTCAAAAATTTTACATATTTACAAAACTATTTTTAGACACAATTCGCGATGGTAATTAGCAGTAGATGCTGACCTCGTAAGTTTAAATGTGTCCTTCTTTCCAGCCGTTTCAAATAATGGGGATTTCCGGTGGATACACTTCCATTGAAAAGTGAAAAATATATAATTATTTATTACCTATAAAAATTGAGATCACCACAGCTAACTAAAGGACATTCCGGAGTACGGCTTCATATGCAGACAAATCGGGGCTGTTTTTGGGTATTTCCATAGTAATGCGTCGGTATGACGAGTCACCGCAAGATTCGACGCTTTTTCTGACGCCTAAATAAGATAGATTGGAATAGAAGGTTCGAGTAAAATGATGTTTCAAAAATTTCCTAATTAAATATTACCGGCCTTTTTACTTAGTAGCAGAAAGTGCTCACAAAATAAATATTTTAGCTTTTTCAGAAAATTCGCCGTAAAAAATCAATTGTTGAAAGGTTGATAAGCAGATGTTTTCGCGAAGGGGCCTGTAATACTCAAATGACAAAGCAAATAATACCGCAATAATTTGAGTCATTCTTTCACAAATCTCTTAAAATACCGTGTTTAACGTTCAGTAAAGTTCCAAAACCGATTAATCGTTAATTGATTTTCACAATCATTCAAAAGCGGTGCAAAGTGAACAATTTTGAAACGAATTTTTTAGGAAAAAGATTTTTCAGATTTCATCGGGTTCGTTAATTTTCTGGAGATCATATCATCAACTTTTCCATCAAGTTTATGGGTGGATTTAAGATTTCTTGCAAGGAGATTTGGAGCATTTAATCAAAAAAATTAATCGGTAAAATTCAATATATTATTTCAGCAGAAATTGCATTCATGTCGTTAAGTACTAATTATTAGACTCCAACCTGGCTCGAAAACTTCGAAATTTTTTGAAACACTAATTTTCCAAAAAAAAGTTTCATAAAGTACTAGAGTCCATAGTTTTCTAAACAAGCACTAAGATCAACCTGATGCATTTAGCTTAATAGGAGCGCTAAAAATATTTCTTAGACGGTTATTCCCTATTTTAAGACGCATTTCAATGAATGGATTAAATTTGTAGAATTCCATCTGGATTTCTACCTTGCGCTTCCGCCAATTCTTTTGAACGTAAACTTAATTTTATCAAACCGCCTTAGAATCTAAAATATTTGGAGGTGTTCGATACTTCTCGAGCTTGTAAATAAATGTATCAAAGTTTTATGTAAACGGGATTTTACATTAACGACTCTATCCATTTTAACGCCCCTCGAAAATCTTAAGAATTTCAGGGAGATTACAAAAGATAAGGAGCAGGATTATACAGGAATCGGGCTTCGAAAGTTGCCATATTTTTGACACCCAATTTTTTTCGGAATTTGATGTCTCAGCAACCGCTGGACTAGCTAGATTTTAGACACGGCAATAGCCACTGATCAAAGTTAACGGGTAAAACTCCCAGACAGATCGAAAGCGATACGGCCTGACGTCTTGTAGATCTTTAATGCCCTCGTGGGTGCTAAACACGCCGTCCACCACCAGGGAATTTGTAGCAGCAATACGTACCGGAACGCGCGATTTACGTATTACGTACTTCTTGGCGAGGAGGAGCATCAACTGGATAAATTGCAGCCGTTCGATGTCGAGGCTTTCGGGGCGTTCAGCCGCTTCCTCTTCTTGAAGCGTATCTGCTGCCGAAAATTGGGCGTTGGCGGGTCGTTCTTGGAGCTGAAAGGGGGTGATCAGGGTTTTCAAGAAGTTCAGAAGAAATCAGGAGAAGATAGAGTTTTTTAAGTATGGTCAGAGCGCTCAGTAAGCCCAGCCCAACAAGTTCAAGCAGTTCAGGGAAATGAGCGAGTTGAAGACAAGAGCAGAAACGGAAAAATAAGATCAAGCCTTTCAAGCTGGTCAGAACGTCTTACTAAAAAGAAGGCTATAAAGTCTAGGAAAAAAAATGCAAGGGGTTCAAGAGGATCAGCTACTGATAGCCAACAAGTTCAAGCAGTCCAATCTATTGAAGTCCCTCACCTTCATAACTTCCCTACAAATATATCGTTCGGTCTCCTTCTTCAGCTCGGGCAGGTGGACGGCGATGACTCCCTCGAGCAGGGTGACAAAGTCGTCGTATCCCTGCACCTCGCGGAGCAGCACCTCGATGAAGTAGGTGTGCGCGAATTGCTGAAAAGGGAGAATACATTTTTAAAGGACAAAAAGTACGGAGGTCGAACTCCTGGCGTTTTTTTCGCATGAATCTAGACGGTAGCAGCAGCAGCAGCACTTGTTCAACCTGATTGAGGAGCACGAACGCCTTTAATTTTATGCAGTGCGAGGTATTCATGGTTTTTACGGAGAACTTGAATGCGGGAGGTCGAACTCCTTGATGTGGAGGTTTCTTTTAGCCAAAAAACTCACGCTGCAAATGTGTTTCGCCACTTCCGGGCTCTCGTTCTCATCCCGGCAGATCTCTTCCACGCTCCGCAGGCCGTGCATGAACACTTTGCGATGGAGCATGTATTTGTCTTCCTGAAATTATGGGGAATTTAGGGTTAGCTAGCAGAGATCCTTTGGGAACGTTGGGCATGCTAGCAGAGATCATTGAGGAAAGGAAAGTATTTTCTAAAACCAACCGTTCTCGTCAGGTTCAGGAATTCGATCTCGGGTACCGTAACCCGCCCAGCCTGGAAGTCATCAACGTATTTCTTGCACGCCTCCTTGATCTTCTGATTCATGTGGGCCGTGGCCAGGGAGGGCAGGTAGCGCATCGGGTCGAAGATGGAGGTTTTCATCCTGAAAAGGAGAAGTAGAATTCAAAGTAGAATTAGAAAAACTCACAAAAAACCATGCTTCGCAAATGCTCTCTGCTAGCCTGCCGCGATCGCAAATCATCTCTGCTAGCTACTCTTGAGCTGCCACTCTACGCCAGTTTTCCTTCCTTTCCCAAATAATCTCTGCTAGCCTGCCCTCTGTTCCTCAAGCATCTCTGCTAGCCAGTATTCGATTCCTCTATGATCTCTGCTAGCCCCCTCCTTTCCAAAAACCCGTCCACCTACCGTATCTCGATCTGCAGTGATATCTGCTCGTTGATGCTGTTGTGGATGAAGCGCGTGAAGTGGGCCTGGCGCTCCGGGGAGAGCTGGATCGGCCAGCCACTGCCTAAATTCAAAATAAGCCATTGAATCCGAGGCAGGCTAGCAGAAACTATTACGGCATTTCTAAAAAAACGGACCTTTGGTATATTCGGCCTCTGGGACTCGCATATCCTCAAAGATCAGCTCGCCCATCGCGCTGTAGAGCGACATTCTGGAACAAAAATATGGGTAAAATAAAGAAACTGGCGAATTATCTCTGCTAGCTTGTCCTAATCATTCCTAAAGAATCTTTGCTAGCGTGACCTCGCTTCACCAATGGTCTCTGCAAGCTGCCCTTACTTCATGAATAATCTTTGCTAGTTTGCCTTGCTTCCTCAATGATCTTTGCTAGCATTCCCCCAATTCCTCAGGTGTCTCTGCTAGAACGCCCAGCCAATTCCTCAAAACTCCGCTAGACTGCTGCTGCCCTTTCCTCAAGGATCTCGGCTAGTTGCCCCTTCTTTTGGTCTCTGCCTCTGAATTTCTCAAGAATCTTTGCTAGCCTGCCCAGATCTTCCACCTTAACCCTATTTTCCAGGCGTCACACTCCCTTTAAAATGCCGATCATATACCAACCTGACTTCATCAACCATCACATCCTGAGCGATGCCATCCTTATAGTAGAGGGAGGCGAACACGTGGTTCGGGAGCTCGTACTCCGTCGTCGTCCAAACGGCACACTCGTCAGAGAGTCTGAAAAATCAAAAAATAGTAGATTCCTCAAGTATTTCTGCTAGCCTGCACGTGAGAAAGAGCTAGAAAGAGAGAGAGAGAGAGAGAGAGAGAGAGAGAGAGAAAGCCTGAGAAAAGCTAAATAAACTCATGCTCACCTGGCAGTCCAGGTGAAAGCCACTCCATTGTAGGAGGTGGTGAACGGCTGCGAGACGTTGAGCACGAGCTCTTCCTCCTCGACTTTTCTGAAAAATAATATATTTAGGCGCTTCGCTAATTAATTTTATAAAGTTAACTAAACCTAGCGTAATTTAACGATTTTCAAAGCCGTTTTGTTTTTAAATCCAATATTTTTGCAATTTTTTCTCCGCAAACCTGTTAAATTTTTCGTATTTTCCTTGCCATATTTTCGACGTCAAAAATCCGAACCCATCCACCACTTTAAGCCGATTTTCCGGGCCGTTTCCTTCAAATTTTTATTGGTGTTTTCAGCGGGACGGGATTGACCAATCCCCTAAAAAGCGTCCGTCGGTCCCGGCGGGTCACTTTTCGCTCCGGCTTTTGAAACGCTCAAGGTCACACCTATGGGTTCGGTTGATCTCTGTTGAATTCCCAAATGGTCTCTGCTAGCTTGCCCTCAATTCACAAATGATCTCTGCCAGCTTGCCTCTGGTCTTTGAAAACCCTTCAAAAACCAGATTTCGAACCGTTTTTCTGTCCGTTTTCTCCAATGAACTGTTGCCAATCCTAGGGCCGTTCCCGGTCCAGCTGGACTCATGGCCAAAAAGGCGAGAGAGAGAAAAAGAGAGAGAGAGAGAGAGAGAGAGTGAGTGACCCGAGTTGGTCGTGTGACGTCGTGTGCTTGTGTGTGTGCCCGAGCGAGTGTGTGGATTTGATGGAAATTGTTGACCCCCACCCGCACAAATCGAGAAATCACCGGAAACCGATCGGGTACAACAGATATAGCCATGTGACGGAGCGGTTTCTGTTTTTTGACCGGGCAGGCTGGCAGAGAGCCATTGAGAACTGAGCCAAGGCTGGCTAGCGGAGATCCATCGAGAAATTCGGCCCTCTCGAGGCTAGCAGAGACCATTTGGGAATTGATGGCAAGCTAGCAGAGATCATTTTACGAAATCCGTATCTGATAGCTGAGCATAATTTCTATAATAATTATAACTCAGGGCAGGCTAGCAGAGACCATTTGGGGAAACCAGTTTCAAGTCAAGCTAGTAGAGTTGCTTTAGGAAATTGATAACGCCTAATCCTACGTTTTTGAAAAATCGATGCCGGCTAGCAGGGATGCTTTGGGAAATTGAGTTCAGGGCGGCTAGCAAAGACCATTTGGGAAATCGAATTTCAAGGCAGGCTAGCAGGGATTCTGTAGGAAATTGACAACGGCGAATCCTACTTTTTTTGGGAAATCGAAGCAAGCTAGCAGGGGTGCTTTCGGAAATCGCGTTCCGGGCAAGCTAGCAGGGACCTTTTGAGGAATTGGCTCTTATTTTTTATCTTTTTTTTTAGAAACAGCTTTTTGCAAAAATCCTTAAATTCCGATTTTGTTCACGTAACTTTCAAGCCCCTACTACCCTCCCCGCTCCCTAAAATGTGCCCTTTTGGGCCCGGCTGAACCGGAGCTTTGTGCCCTCATCAGTCCACAACCGCCATTCCGGAGTGTAAAGTGGCCCGGGGTGTTGTCCCGTTTTTCTGAGCAAAGGGGCCAAATAATCGCGATCCCCGGGCCGTGCGGAAAAAGCGTAATTGATGGAATGAGATCAACGGTGCGTAGCAGCATTTTTAGGGCCAAAAAATGGCTTCAGTCGGCTTGCCGGGCCCTTTAAAAACGAGATAAATAATTGGAGGTCCATGGGTCACGCGTGGCGGTTTAAAAATTGAGGCGTCGATTTTTTTGAGGTTGTTTTTTTGGGGGTTGATAGATTGGGTTGGCGGCTTCGGTAAGTTGCGATTTTTGGGGTTGATTAGGGGAATGTCGGGATTTAACTTAAAACCTAAGGCAAGCTAGCAGAGATTTTTAGGAACGGCAAGGCCGAGTTTTAGATTTTTTGCGCCACACACGTGTTTTATTACGCAATCAAAATCTTTCGAGAATCCATGGTTTGAAAGTCGCTCGTCTTGCCTTACACGTGCCTTTAAAATTTCTTCGTTGAAGTCAGTTCCTTAAAATCCAAATTACGACACTAATAGCGTAGTCATAAGCCCCAAATATTCCGATTATTCCTAGAAAAAAAAAACCAGTTTTTAGCATGTAACTCGATCCAGAAATTCCCCAAAAATCGCTGCTAGTGTGCCAGGCACCCTTTCTTTTTCCCATATCTACCGTATTTTCTACTGTATTTTTTAATAAAATAATAAAATTAAATATAAAATTCCAAATTCTACAATATTTTTCAGCCAGTCCCTAGAGTCTCTAGACAAATTTTTTTAGGATTGCCAATGACTTTCAGCTGGTCGACTTTCAAAGGGTGCCCTCGTGCTCCTTGATAGAGCGAGAGAGAGAGAGAGAGAGAGAGAGAGAGAGAGCATATTATCACGAGTCCCATATTTGATCGGGGGCTCTTTTGAAAAACATGGCGGAATGGAGATGGAAAAGTGATAAACATTCAAACCCCAGCACGAAAACCCGTCTTTCCAGCGCGATCTGCAAGAATACGCCGAGAAGTGAAACGCAAAAACACTTCGGGAGAGCAACTTTTCAATCTGGGGCAGAAAATGTGTTGCAAAAGTTTTTTAAAATTCCCACCATCCCAAATTAGCTCTGCTAGCTTGCCATTAGCCGAAATGGTCTCTGCTAGCTTGCCAGGAGTTCCAAACGGTCTCTCCTAGTATGCCACTATCCCAAATGGCCTCTGCTAGCTTGCCAACATGCTCAATGGTCTTCGCTAGCTTCCCACAATCCCAAATGGTCTTTGCTAGTATGCCACCATCCTGAATGGTCTCTGCTACTTTTTTTCGTCAGAATTCCCCAAAGGTTTCTGCTAGCGTGCCAAACTCCAAAACGATCTCTGCTTGCTTGTGTCTTTCCGAATTGGTCATTGTTAGCTTGCCACTATCCCAAATGGTCTCTGCTGGCTTGATGACATCCTAAGTAGTCTCTGCTAGCTTGCCATACTCCCAAATGGCCTCCGCAAGTTTGCCAGAACCCCAAAAGATTCCAGCTATCCTGCCCTGAATTTTCCAACCTTCCTAGCCCCTTTAAAGTCGAATCCCAAAAATCCGGCGCCGATCTCTGTACAAATCCTACAAAAGTGTTGCTGATTCTTATCCAACCCCCGTCTGCCCTTTCAAACTTTACGACGCAAAAACAATGCGAAACACGCGAAATTTGTCGCGCTTGTTTTCGGGGGAAAAATCCGAGCTCATGCTCACACACAGCAGTTGGTGCTCCACGAGATATGTGTTTTTCGGAGGGGGTGAAAGAGGAGGTGGAGGGCTAATTCTACCTAGGAGGGGGCTTATCCCCGCTTGACCGACCCCCGAAAATCACCCCAAAATGTGCAGGGAGGGCTCGAAAACTGAAAACAAATCTCGGCACACACGTGACTGTAGGATTTGCATGGGATATGTACGGTATTGTGGGGGGAGGAGTGCTTGTACTTTTTGTAGATTTGCATAGGCGCATCGAGGCCAAAAAATCAGAAATTGAAGCCCAAATGGTCTCTGCAAGTTAGCCCAGGCGAGAGAATTCACAAAAATCCCTAGATTACCTAAATTATGGAACTCTAGCGACCCTCCCCAAATGATCTCTGCTAGCCTGCCCTACTCGACAAATTACCAATTTTCTAACCACACGCTCGAGGTGTAAGATAGTGAACTAGAGAGAGAGAGAGTGAGAGAGAGAGAGCGATGAGATGAGATAGAGAGAGAGAGAGAGAGAAAGAAAGAGAGAGAGAGAGAGAGAGAGAGAGAGAGAGAGACAGAGAGAGAGAGAGAGAGAGAGAGAGAGAGAGAGAGAGAGAGAGAGAGAGAGAGAGAAAGCGAGACACGGTAACTATTCTAGGCTTCGAGTGCAGAAAAGAACAAGGCTAATGTACCAGAGCCATCCCATACCATTTTACTCTCCCAAATGGTCTCTGCCCGTTTGCCCAATCCCCCAAAAGTCTTTGCCAGCTTTTCACGATAAGAAATGATCTCTGCTAGCTTGCCCGGCTTGAGAACTCTCTCAAATGATCTCTGCTAGCCTACCTCAGCCTTAAAATCTCTCGAACCCATCCCGTTTGTTGAGCAATTTTTGAGCTCCAGGTCGTCGGGTTATTTTTGGGTTCTTGTGTGATGGCATCCTGAGATACACATGCCTTGGGGGCATGTGTATCCACACAGCACGTTACAATAGGAGGGCCCGTGTGGAATTCCCGTGGCAAATACCCGGGGTGCCAAACACTCCCTCGTTGAGGATGACAGCCACCCAGTGGATCGGGCAGATGGATAGATAGATTTGTTGTCTTTCGGTCTGTGAGTGTGCGTGTATTTCCGGAGGGATCCTATCAACGCCTCACCTCCTATCATCATTTATCTATCCATATACCCCCTCGGGAAAGTCGGCTATCTCCCCGGAGATGTTTTGCCCCTCGGGATTGGAAAAACGAGGGGAAATGGCAGGGATTTTGCGGAAATTTGAGTGGATTGATTGGAGAAAAAAACAATTCAATCAGAAATTTCAAACGAATCAAAAAATGCGTTCCTACAAATTTTTTCGATGAAACTGACTAATTTTGTTCAACCAACCAATTTTTCTATTTTCCAAGAAATGTCTGGTAACGTAGTATTAAGTATTTTAATAGTGTTTTTAGTAGGATTTACCTAGATTTTAAGTAAAAATTAAAACAGTAAATAACGCTTTAGAAACACTCCCACAATTCCACAGACCACACACAAGTTGGTCTAGGCCCCTCATAGCTGTCACGCTCCCTTTAAAGTGGGCGTGGCCTCTTTCTAACAATTTTCTAGCTGTCACCATCCCTTTAAAAAAACCCCAGTACTTACCTCTTGGAAATACGCAGCGGCCACGTGTATTGGAAGGACATTTTCTCGCGTGGCGGCTCGTCACTTGTGGAGGGTAGCTCCATTTTCACCGGGTCCACGGAAAGGGGTACCCGCATTTTCTGAAAAAAAAACGTTTTAAAAGGTACAAACTACAAAAAGCCCGATTTTATGGTTTTGATGACCAAAAACCAGGTGAAAAATGGCTAGAGAATTTTCGCGAAAAAGCGTTTCCCGATCTTGCACTCAACTAGGGGAGGGGGGGGTGAAAATTGATAAGCGCCCGAGGAATCCCTCGCTATTTCCGGAAATAACAGAAAAATTCGGGATTCGTAAATGGCCTCTGCTGGCTTGCCGGATTTTTAGGTGCTCACTGCGCCGCAAATGGTCTCTGTTAGCTTACCCTGGATTCCTAAATGGTCCCTGTTAGCTGCCCTAGTTTATGGGAGCGTCCGTTTCCCAAATGATCTTTGCTAGCTTGCCCTGATTCCCAAATTGTCTCTGCTAGCCTGTCTTAGTTTCCAAAATGGTGGCAGCTAGCTACCTTAGACTGCTAGCCTAGACCAAATTCGCAAATGGTCTTTGCTTGCTCCCCGGATTGATTTCCCAAAAGATCTCTGCTAGCCTGTCTCGATTTCCCAAAAAAATCTCTGCTAGCCTGCCACGATTCGCTAAAGGGTGCTAGCTTGCCCTGAAAAATTCCAGGGATTTTCGACTCCCAAATGGTCTCTGCTAGTCTGCCCCTCACCTTGAAGACCTGCCGAGATAAAAAAACAGCTTTTGCGCCTCCTCAAAGATCTTTGCTAGTCTGCCCTAACTTTAAAAAAAACATTTTTTCATCTAAAATGTATTAAAGTTTATCTATACCTTAAGGTACCTTTAGTAAGCAATAATACCTCCAAAAATTTCTCTGAAACAATAGACCAGTACGTACCTGTACAGTAGACATCCCGTATTTTTGTCAACAACAAATATAGTCAAATTCTTCGTTTCTTCAAGAGAGGGGAGAATGGGCCCCTGTTGTGGCGGATCTATCGGAAAATCGTTGGCTGTCGTGGGAATGGCCGTCGGGGGTGCATGCACCTGAATAGAAATCAAAACTGTAAGGAGGAGCGTTTCGAAATATAGAGGTGTCGAAAGGAAGGGAACGGAATAATCGAGGGAATATGGGGCAAAACAACAAAACACATGGTTACTGACTCTCTCTCTCTCTCTCTTTTTCTCTCTCTCTCTCTCTCTCGCCCTAGCTTGACCGCAGGCAGATTTCAACCAAACCAAGGTCGTAACGGACAGCTGGCCCTAGTTAACCTCGACCGAAATAGAGCCACGTGGGGTGAGAGAGAGAGGGAGAGAACGAGAGAGGGAGAGAACGAGCAACAGAAAACAGGAAATAAGAGCTGCAGTGGCATAAACAAGGAGGTAGCATCTATTAAGCATGAATAGGCGAAAGAGAGCTAGAGGGAGAGAGGGAGAGGGAGAGAAAGTGAGAGACCTACAGGTACACCCGAACTTCCTTCCCCGTCAATAAAAACAAGATAAATCTTCAGAAAATCGGGCAGAGACAGACGATGTGAAGTGCAATTAGGCGCGTCGGAAAGGGGGAAGGTCAGCCAGGAGTGGATGATGGTCCCGAAAAGAAAATCAAAGGTGGGGTGGATTTGGACAGGACCCCCGATGAGGGTGACGTCATGAGACCTGGGCCAATCCAATTGTCCGTGGGGGCCAATCTGGGGGTATCCGTTACCATCGTCGATAAGAATGGGACGTAGTCACGCGTAGGCAGCACAGAATTTAAATAAAAATACATATTATTTACTAACTAGTCTTCTAAGTATTTAAAAATTATAGAAATTATTTAAAGCTTAAGCCTATTTTCGACTTCAAAAATCAAATTTTTGCGGATTTTTGAGCGCATTAAACTAGCTGGAACCCGTGAAATTGAAATAGGGCAAGCTAGCTGAGATTTTTGCGGAATATCTAGGTCCCTAAAAATTAAAAAATAGACACAAATTTCACAAGGAACCAAAGCACAGCCAGGACGGCACCGCAAAGATCGGCGCTGGCGGCTGGGAGAGGAGGCTGTAAAGCGGCCATAAAATGTCACAACAGTGGTCACGATCCGCATTGGTGAAATGGACTAACTCAGACGCGCATTAATAGACATAATAATACCCGCAAAATTCATTTCGAGATTTAGAGCACCAAAAAAACTCAAGCTAAAAATGATTTAGGTCATAAAATTGTCATTTTACATCCGATAATGTTCAAACTTGGCTGTAATATGCGAAATAGTTAGTTAAACCTCTATGCAAATTTTGAGTCCGATCGCTACAGTAATTCTCGGGTGATGATAAAAACAATAAAAATTTAGGCTTTTGGAGGCCGAAAAATAGGCAAGCTAGCAGAGGTTCCTTAGGAAATATCTAGCAACAGGCAGGCGAGCAAAGATTATTCAGAAAAAGCTAGAAACTATAGAAAATTAGTTTAGTCCCAACAAGCCGTCCTGAAGATGAACTTTTCCGGCTGCCCGGCAAGGCAGCTGGTCACTTGAAACTAGAGCCCCAGGCCCCGCTGGTCCAAGCCGAGTTTTTTCGGTCGAACTTGGCCCCTCTGTGGGCCCTCTTCAGGGCCCCCATCAAATGGTGTAATCGGGCCATGGGGATCTGAAAAAGCAAGAGCTTCTTCTCCCCCCTCCACTCCTCATCCCTGCCAGCGACAACTTTTGTTTTCCAGGAAGTCGCAGTCGAAGTGGGGTGACGGGGAATCTACAGCTTTTCCTGATGGCACGAGCACCGCAAATATTATTGTGTGTTCAGAGGAGTGAGTAGTACTCAGGAAATGTTAAAGCAATGGGGGAATTAGTAGTTTTTTTTTGTTGTTTTTAAGGGGTGGTTTTTACAGAAAATATACTGTATTTCGGTAGAAAATCCAGAATTTTACGGGCACCAAGGCTAACTAGCAGAGATCATTTCGGAATAGGGCTTGAGGCTAGGACCGGCTAGCAAAGATAATTTGCGGAAATTTCGAAGAACCTCGATCTTTTAGTCCCATAACTTTTTCAAGGAGCAGGCAAGCTAGCAGAGATCCTTGAAAATGGGTTGCCATTAGTGCGTTTTAGGCATAAAAATTCGCTATCTAGCAGTAAGCCTTTTCTTAAGATTAACAAAACTGAGAAAAACAACTGACTTTCGAGAATCGCAATTTGATTGCCCCGATGATATCATGAACTTTCGGGAAAACGAGATCTCTCGACGAAAAGATGGGAAATGATACGAATCGTGACGTGGATTGTTGCGGAACTTTGGACATTCCTCAAGGACTTCTGCTAGCCTGCCCGGAAAATTGGCAAAATAAAACGAAAAAGAAATAATTCTTAACATTTATCAGCGCACTAATAGGTTGATCCGCAAATGGTCTCTGCTAGCCTGCCTGAGGCCCAAAAATCCAGTATCCAAGCCATTTGGCTGCACATCGCTGACTGTTGCTCCTGGGGGAAGAAGAGGAGCACGAGGAGGAAGGTGAGAAATATTAGGATTCCTCAAGGATCCATGCTAGCATGCCCTAATATTGGTAAGCGAACGAATGGAAGGCTTTTCCGCAAATGGTCTCTGCTAGTCTACCTCTGGCTTAATCCCGGATCCAAGCAAGTTGGATCAAAATCTATGAGTGCTGCTCCTGGCGGAAGAGGAGCACGACCAGGAAAGATCGAAAGATTTGGATTCCTCAATGATCTCTGCTAGTTGGCCATATATGCATTAATAGGCCCGGATCCACAAATGGTCTCTGCTAGCCTACCTCTAGCTAAATCCCGGATCGAAGCCCTTGGATGCAAATCGATGAGTGCGACTCCTGGGGGAGAGGAGCAAGAGGAAGGCAAGCAAGTGGGGAGTATGAGATCGAAAAAGACTGTCTTTCTGGTGGGGGGAAGGCCGGGGCTCCCTCCTCCCTGAACAGCCAGCAGAAAAGGGGCACGAAATAGGAAAATATGGGCTGGGGGGAGGGAGATGAACAGGTGGACCATCCCACCCTCCCTGGCCACGCCCACTTTTCCCCCGGCAATCCAGAGGCATTTTATCCTTTTTTCTATCGTTTTAATCTCTCGGTTTTTGTTGAGAGTCGGGAACACGAGCGGTGCCGATCAAAGAGGATTTTTGGGGGTCGAAATGGACTTTGGGGTTTTTGAGGTGTGACGAATCTAAATTTAGATTGGAATTTAAGGAAAATTTCGGGAATTAAATTGCGGTTAAATAATTAGGTTGAATTTTGCGCTTGGTCAGGCTAGCGGAGAGCGAGCCAGATTAGCATAGATCTTTGAGATAGGGAAAGGCCGGCTAGCAGAGATCATTGAGGAAACGGAAGCACGCTAGCAGAGATCTTTTAGACAAGGAGCTCGAGCTAGCAGAGTTCATTCTCAGAGTCGAGACTGACTAGCTGAGAACATTAAGGAGCGGTGCTCATTTAATTGGAAGCTCATGCTCAAGGCTCCTAGCAAAAACCCATAGAGTCTTTTTACGCTCGGAGATACGAGTAACCTCAGGCTCCCCGGCACCACCTTATCTCCAAAAACCGCGCTAGTTACCGTACCTACCCCGATGTCATCGAGGTGGTGTGAGCATCAACTTTGAGGGGCTCGTCACTCTCACCCCGCTCGGGGCCAAAACACTCGGGGTGCTGGGATGACTACGAGACATTACACCCCGAACGGGCATGAGTTTGAGGCTGAGGGCCACGTGAGGGTGGTGGGGAGTACGAGGTGATACTCCGTCCAGGGCTCAAAACTCGGTGCTCATGGGTTCCTGGTCGCTTGAGGCCGGGTGAGTGGCAGTGATAGTGAGTACGACAGAGAGAGAGAGAGAGAGAGAGAGAGAGAGAGAGAGAGAGAGAGAGAGAGAGAGAGAGAGAGAGAGGGAGAGAGGGAGAGCGAGAGAAATCTGAGCTCATATTTTGCTCGCACCCAGAATGAGCGACACCTTGTGACTCGTAGGAGCAGCAGCTCTGACTCATCACTCATCCTCGTAGTCATAACGTATTCTTGGGGCACAAATCAGAAACCAGCAAATTCCCAAATGATCCCTGCTAGCCTGCCCTGACCTAAAAATTCCCAAAACAAGCGCCGCTAGCCTGCCTCAATTCTTAAAAGATCTCTGCTAACCTGCCCTCGTCACAAATTTTCCCAAACGATCTCTGCTAGACTGCCTGAATTCCCCAACGATCCATGCTAGCTACCGTGATTTTAACTATTCCTAAATGATCCCCGCTAGCTTGCCCTACTGATCAAATTTCCTAAATAATCTCTGCTAGCCCGCCAAAATCCCCCTCGAACTAAAAAAACCCCCAGAATTTCATAAGAATATCTAAGCTATGCAGGTCTTTGGAGCGGTGAGAGACAAAATGTTGATTCGACTGTCCATCCGTCGATGTGATGTTGTTTCTCCCGCGGAGAGTCGAGCTCCACCCTCGCCCCTTCCCGGAAATTTATGCTGTTGTGACGTCGCTGGGCTCTGCCCTCTCCCTTCGACCACCACTCTGACTCATCTCTCCCTCTCTCTCTCTCTCTCGCTCTCGCTCTCTCTGCTCTGTTTAGCTAAAATTAGCATATGACAGTCCAGAGGGGCATGACGCCTGTGTTGGTGCGTTTTTGCGATTTTTTTGGCGAGCATGGGTAGCAGGGGAGGATGATCTTTGAAAGAGGTGTGAAAATCGGCAGGTCAGAGGTATTGGTCAGCAATTGTACTTTTTGAAGAGAGAGAGAGAGAGCGAGCGAGAGAGAGAGAAAGAGAGAGAGAAAGAGAAATGATGCAAGCACTGACGTAAGTTATATGCAAAACTACTTCCCAAATACTGGAAACTACCCAACTCGGTATTCGAAAATAGGCGGCAAGCCAGTAGAGAGTATTTAGGAAAAGTTTACTTACCTTTAATGCGCTCTAAAATCAAGCTGGCAGGCTA